AATTTGACAGTATTAAAGCTGCTTTTGAGAATTTAGATTTTAGGTCTTTGTTTTACATGTACCCAGTAAATATTTTTGAGTTTTGAACTCTGATTCTCACAAGCTTACAATTTGTTTACAATTTACTCTGGCTCTAGAGTTGATCGGAATTGTAACAAATACGCGTACACTTAAATGGCTTCCTGAATTTAGTCAATCAGATGTGTAAAAATTACTCGTTTCAATTTTATGTTTATGCTCGAAACTGCTCATGTTTACAATAGCAATTCTAACAATCTTGCCCTCCTTTTCGCCTTTGAGGCGTTGGTGTTGATTTATACACAAAATTCAAAACTCAAAAATATTTACTGGTCTGGGTACATGTGAAACGAAGACCTAAAATCTAAATTCCCAAAAGCAGCTTTAATACGGTCAAATTTTCCGAAGTCTGATTTAGTTGTTTCAAAAGTATAGAATACACACACACTTCTGTATGGATTTCGTACATGTTCTACTTGTCTTACAGTAAAAATACAAAAATTGTCCCACTTCCGCTGTTTGTTGTGATTTTAATACTGTAATTTGTTCTGTTTTTCTGTAGCGATTACCGATTTATCGGCAAATACCGCGATTTGAAAACTTACTTTTCTTTATTTATTTCATTCTACAGCATTTATAGTTCTACAGCTATCTTATACAGTTCTATAATATTGTGAATGATTCCGAATATTCAAAACGAATTGAAAGAATGAAAGCAGTAATGATGTACTGTATAACGTTTAAACTTAGCCGGCCGTACAGCTCACTGCCACCGGTCATTGAGCCGAAGGATAAACCGAAAATTCACTTTTCTCATCACAAGATTTAATGTTCAGTCGATCCGCTACATTGAAAGATGAGTATACTTGGCTATTTTTTGGCAGGGGTAACGAAATATATCGGCTGTTCTCTACAGTAAGTGTTTCTTTATGTGTTGCCCATCGGAATATAATATAACTACATAAGCTTGATAGATGTAAGATAACGAGTTTCACAATCCCATTTTAAATACTATGGCTTTTGGCAGCCTGGTTTTGCATCATATGTGTTTTTCAGTAAAAGCCCCATTTTCCTACTTCCCCAACGTGTAATACGCGAAAAAAACTTTGTTAATAATAACAAAAAATTGTAATAGTAAACAGTGTATTTTACTATAAAGGATTTTCGTTTTTCTACTGCTCCGTACTTCGTGTGCTCCGTGCTCCGTACTCCGTGTGCTCCGTGCTCCGTGTGCTCCGTGCTCCGTGCGCTCCGTGCTCCGTGCTCCGTGTTTTACTAATAGCCATATTCATAATGTTATTCCAAAGTCTACACGCGTAAAAACGCACAAGTTGTTACATGTCTGCAAACAAGTGTTACAAATCTGTTCACAAGCTGTCAACAAGTTGTGTTCGCACTGCTTGTTCCAAGTTGTTGTAACAAGTTTGGAACAAGCTGTTAACAATTGTATCGAACTTGTTGGAACAAGTCTGATAATATCAACAAGGTTGTAACAAGTTGTAACAAGCTTTATGGCATTATCAAACTTGTTACAAGGTTGTTCTATAAACAAGTCGGATACACTCATGATATAACGAGAATGTTACAAGGTTGACGACACAAGGTTGTAACAATATTGTTATATCATGACTGTATTGGACTTGTTGGAACAACCTTGCAACAAGCTGTTAATATCAACAAGCTTGTTACAACTGTGAACAAGTTGTTCCATACTTGTTGACAACTTGGGACAAGCCGTGCGAACACAACTTGTGGACGGCTTGTTGGTAGACTTGCTACAAGATGTGAGGTTTTTGCGTGTGTATATGCGATGAACCAATAAGTATTTGGTTTGCCCCGTGATTTCATTCCTTAAAGGACATTGGCAATAAAAAATTAGTTTAGTTCATTTGAAAGAACTCGTAAAACTATATATTAAACTCTATTACGGATTGTTTATATCTTGCTTAGTTTTCAAAATATTTGGACTGAAAAAAGTGAGCTGTTCGCCATTTTGGATTATTGAGGATATGCATGTTACGTCAAGAGAGGGGTCACGCTAATTTTTTAACTTGAGAGTAAGCGATCAATATCACAGGGGGTCCAACTAAGAGCTGTGTTATGAATATGAATAAAACATTATTAAACGTAATATGAATAAAACATCATAACGTAATATATTTAAATTATTGCACTTACTTGTATATTAAATCATAAGAGCTTGTATTTGCAGTGAATAGCTTTTAACAAGGCGCTTATACACGCTCAGAAAATCGCTCAGAAACATTTTGATTCGAACGATTGTTCAAATATGGCGAATAAATTGACAAAACGAAAATATTACATGACGTTCCAACGAAAGTAACAGCAAGGATTGCGGGCGCGCGAGCAAGCGAAAAGGCGAGGGAAGAAATAAATAGAAGGGATGAAACAAATATCACGTGACTTTTTAAAATGCTTCTAGACTACCCGTTTAAGCTTTTTGTGGGGGTTTTAAGGCTCAGTCGATGTTCTCTTACATGAACAAGCCTAGTCATTACCAAAAAAGCACTGATCAATCTAATTTATGTGATTTATAACAGCGAGCATTCTTGGCCATTATCGCGAGATGTGTTCCATAAGTAGCCTGTTCTCGTGACGTATGACGAAATAATAATAAAACTAAATAATGTAAAAAAAACCGTTGGTCGCTACATTTAAACATTTCATATTAGCCGGTATAGCTAAACATTGTTTATTTTCATTAATTAAGCGCGTAGGCGTTGTTGGAGTTGGCAGGAGGCATTTTGGAATTTTCCGAGAGAACAGGCTACTTATGGAACACATCACACGATCGCATTACCGGTGTTTCATCCCTTCTATTAATATCTATTACCCTCGCCTTCCGCTCGCGCCCGCAATCCTTGCTGTTATTTTCGTTGGAACGTCATGTAATATTTTCGTTTTGTCAATTTATTCGCCATATTTGAACAATCGTTCGAATCAAGTGTTTCTGAGCGATTTTCTGAGCGTGTATAAGCGCCCTGTTAAAAGCTATTCACTGCAAATACAAGCTCTTATGATTTATACAAGTAAGTGCAATAATTTAAATATATTACGTTATGATGTTTTATTCATATTACGTTTAATTAATGTTTTATTCATATTTCATAACACAGCTCTTAGTTGGACCCCCTGTGTCAATATGGGTCCAAAACTTCATTTCTGGTTGCTGTCGGAAATTTAGAAATGATTAAAAACATTTCAAACAATTTTGGATTGTTACTCGGTCATTTTAGAGTAGTTTTATATGGTTAACCCAACTCGTGACGTCATCAAAACCACAGTTAATGAGGTAAAGAATTTTTCCAAGATGGCGGAAAGCTCATTAATTTCGGTCTAAATATTTCGAGAACTAAGCAAGATATGACAAATCAAGATATGACAAATTTTAAGAGTTCTTTTGAATGCGACAAACTAATTTTTTATTGCCAATGTCCTTTAATACTTCTGCTTTTGCTACCAAAAGTCGTGTCAAACTGGAAGCATTCTGCTCACAGCGCGATATTAATTCCGATTCTTTTTCAGGTGGCATTGGAGACGCAGTCTGCGCTGCATGTTCGGCAGAACCTTCTATTTCAGTCCACAAACTCGCTGTGAACGGTCTGCCTCGTTCTGGTCCTTCTGCCGCTCTTATGGACATGTTTGGAATCAGCAGCAAGCACGTCGTTGCCTTGGCTAAGAAACTCCTCGCTTAAAAACACTTTTGAAGAATAACGACCCATGTATTGATATAGGTCTCTTTAGCTTGTGGAGAAAAATCATATTTTTCGCACTACTAGTATAATTGTAATAATTTACTCGTTGTCAACACTATTTTTTTGTTGCTATAAGTCTTTAGTTTTCCGTTATATGTTTTTGTTTTAATGGTTCGATATTAAAATACATTATTATTATTATAGAAAAAAGACAATTGTAGGTTCTTGTGGGTTTGGTGTAGTTCCATAAGACCATAAATGTTAATTTTTACGTTCTACTGTAGTTATATTTTTGTTTAGTTTACATACTCTAAGTGTAAAATATTTTGTAGATTTAAGTTTTCCCCCGCAATTATACTGTCATTTAAAATGCAAATAAAATCAGCAATCATTATGTATTGAGTTATTCTTTGTAGAGTTTCATTATTTATACCGATGTAATTGGGAACTCTTGAAGATCTGGCCAAAGGCCAATGATTTCTCAAGCTTTCTAAAATAATTTGGCCGTTGTCCGTTGATTGATGTAATCCAAATTAAATTTGCGTATTTATAAATTAAAGTTTCTGGGTTTTTCTGAGCTTTTCGTTTACAGCTTTTCAGACATTTTTAGAAATTTTTGAAAAGATCGCTTGGATAGCGCCATCCAGTGATTTATAGAGATCGTTGCTCGGGGAATTTAGGAAAATCGTGATCAAATATTGATACCAAGTGTTTTCATGTAGTAAAAGTTGCCAAGGTCCCATATTGTCCATAAATGACTCGCCTTATATAACTTGAGTCCAAAGTAATCCCTCCTTAACCTTTTATGTGTCCCTAATAGCCCTTCCAAATCCTACAATGTCTCACTTTACCCTTGAGTAACCCGATGGCATGCCAAATATCCCTGAATTACAACGTCTCCCCCTAAACGACCCTAACATTCAAGCTTCAAGATCCCCTAATTACCAAAAATGACCATAAATAACACCAAGTGACCCAAAGCCAATCTCTCGACCATTTTCCAAATATGGTCACAAGAAGGCGGGTCTTGTCTCCGTCACGTGACAAAATAGTACGTCAACAAAACAAAAATAATCATTTTATGGCAAAAGCTCGAAACATCAACACTGGACGAAGCTGACACAAAAACAACTGTATTTTGCGGTTTTAAATCCTTTCTAACTCTCCAAAATGTCTTCTCCGTCTCCTGGGAAAAGGCGAATGGACACGGACGTTATAAAACTGTATCCTAACGTGTTTTTGTGCGCATAAAACCTACTAGAATCCGACAGATTTTTCTCGAGTGTGACATACTGTTATTGTGTTAATTCCATATGTACATTGCTACCGTGTTTTCTTTTTCTTAACAATATTTTTACAGCATCGAAAGCAAGCATGAAGTTACGATTCTTGGTGGACTCAACGAATTTGTTGTGAAGTTTTTTGGACCAACAGGCAGTAAGGAAATTGTCTTGTAAATACACTAAATTATATTTCGTCAATATATTATGAAGCACTTTCAAGTTCGAAAATCTACCGATATTTCTATGCCAACGGACTTATACATTTATTTGAACAAGAATTTAAGTATTACTGTTTGAGTTTGAAGATTTATTTCATTTTTTTCTTATATCACAAGGGGCATAAATCATTTTAAATGCTTATTAATAATATATTCTACCATTTTGTAAACAACTAGTGGCTTTCAGAATTTAATAGAAGTTTTCTCTTTCATTCGTAACGGAAATACATTGGGAAAACCACGTTATTAAACTATTTTATCTCCACGTTATTAAGCTATTTTATCTGAACTATTATTTCTCACAGAAATTAAAAATGAATCTACAAATGCAGTGTTAGTATTTACCCAAATATCTTGCATATTTTATGCTTGTGTAATTGTGTTGCGTTGCAAAAATATTCCGGTTAAATTGTTTCTCGAGGTGTGTAATTTCCTTGGCTATTGTGTGAAAACCCCTCGGTTTGCTAAGAATCAATATTGAAATATATTGAATGCATGTATACAAATGAGGCCCATAATAATGTTGTTATGCATTTAAATTTTTGTTCACGTTTTGTCCACGTGACAAGATTCATTGTTACATTACAAAGCTAACCTGTTGTATGATAATAATAGAAACTTGAATTCACAATCCAAAAGAATTGCAATTTGCATCACAGGGACAAATCTGTTTTGATAATTATATGCGGCAATCCCCCGAACCATGCAATTTGAACTGCTGACCTTGACCTTAGACAATCCGCCCAAGTCATGTGATCATGTTTGATCTGAACTTTTTATGAGGGTGTTGATGGGGTATATTGTGAGTCATGATTCACTCAATTTCAGTGACCGTCAGCTGTGAAAACACTAAAAAGTTAACATGAAGCGTGAGGGGAAAAAAATATACTGTTTATCGTTTCAGAACATTTTTCAAAGATTTACCGTTAAAACACCAAAATGTTACAGTTAAAATACCAAAATTTTTACTGTTTACTGATTTTCAGACAACCCCCCCCCCCCCATCTAGACCCTCTTTTATAAACCTAGGTGGCTCAAGTTACACATAAAAGTATGGCTATTTTACGAGAACAACTAAGGATTTATCATAGATTCATCTAATAGAGGCATCAACGTTAACCCATTGAGCGCCAGTGCTTCCCCTTGGCAGTTAATTAAAATGGTCTGGCTTTAGACAGAGTAAAATAATAAAGTAGGGTGCATTACACCCTATGAGACATGGGCAGATAGTCAAATAAACCCAAATTTCAGACAAAACTGTCAAATTTCCGACAACCCCCCCCCCACCACTCGCACTTGAAAAGGCTGTTTTTAGCCTTCTTTTGGGTCAAAATTTCTGAAAATTCGGAAATTTTTCATGAACGTGGAGGGGGACACCCCCCCCCCGCCCCACCAAGATTTCTGCCACTGCTTAGTTCCATCATTCCAATCATCTTTCATTTTAAAACATGTCAGAATAACACATATACAGACTAAATTATGGTTTTGAGTACCTTGGAAAGTTGACATATATATAGTACCAAACGTAAGTAGGCAGATAGCTCAAAAGTTCCACGTACCTACGTGGCTGAAAACAAAGATTAGTGCCAGACCATAATGTTGACGTATCTCTGGTATATAACTGTGTGAATTATTGCACCCCGCCCTCATCCAGTGAAACATATTTTGGGCCATCTGTAAATTCTTGACTTTTCTGCATTGTGTTTTAGCATTATATGAAGGAGGCGTGTGGAAAGTTCGTGTTGATCTTCCAGATAAATATCCTTTCAAATCCCCGTCGATAGGTAAATATACACTCTGCTGTCAAGGCCCATTTCCGCTCAGGAAAATTTTCCACGGAAAGAAAATTTTGTAAAATGTGATTGGCTGACACAAATTTTCTGTCGGAAAAAAAGTTGAAAATTTTCAACTTTTTACAATGATATTTTCGGAGAATCTTCTGTCTGTGGAAATTTTTCTTGAGTGGAAATGAGCCTTATTAAAGGCTTATTGTGAATAACTGACACGCTTCACACATTAATTTAACATATTGCATTAAAGCGCAACATGTATCAATGTGCCAAAAATTACGGGAACCACTGAGTATTTTAATAAAATATAAAACAAATAAAAAAATGAAATGATGACTGAATCTTAGTCGAAAGCTAGAATATTATTAAAATGTTTATTTTCGAGTTACCGTTGTTTTATATTTTATCAATGTGCAATGCATGTAATTTATAAATTGCATATTTTCTCAACAATGCGTTTTATACAATCAGAAATATAGATAATTCTACCGATTCCAATTGGTAAAAATAAGGTAAAAATCGGCCTGATACCGATTATTGGTCAATCACTAGCCGTCCCTGGCCAAAATTTACTTTGGTGTGCCATTGAGTTCCATCAGCTTAAAACAAATAAGAATTTTTTTAGAAATTTTTTCCATTCCTAACTTTGATCTATCAGCTATTGAAATGAGAATATGTTTGCAAACAAATTGTAATTCTTTTACATTTTGTACAATAGGATTCTTGAACAAGATATATCATCCGAACATTGACGAAGCGTAAGTTTTATATATTAACATCATTTAAATAATGAGATTTATTATTGTCATATGGATGGCAACTTTTAAATTTAGACAGTCAGTTTTTTAATGGATGGCTGTTGTTACAATTCTATGATCTTAACTCTTGTAATTACAGTTCTGGGACAGTTTGTCTTGATGTCATAAACCAAGCCTGGACGGCTTTATATGGTGAGTATTATTATGGCAGATACCACATCAGAAATTATGTTGCAAATTGCAAGCAAAAATTACCTTATGTATGTAGAAAGATAAGGCGTAAAAAAAATACCTGTGCAGGGTTTTTTCCGGATTTTCTCTTGGGTCCGTTTTTGCAGTGAGAGAAGATTGAGTTTAGCTGAACAGCTGTGGTGGTTGCACCACCCCACCCCCCCCCCCCCCCCCCCCCCC